ATGCTCATACTCACACAGAACACTTACTCATGCATAAACATGTACACTCAAAGTCACTTGTGCTCATACATGCATTCACACTTGCACAAAAGTGCACATGCTCAAACTGCACATACACACTTTCTGATTCACGAGTTACATACATTCTGTCTTCTCTCTCTCACACACACACACACACACACACAAACACACACACACACATTGCTTCTCTCTCTCACACACACACACACACACTGCTTCCATTGCTGCATATTCTTTTCCTTCCTGCAACTCAAAAGAGGCTCTTTAAAGTTCTAGTTTTAAAGAGAACTAGTTTTTATCTTCTGTGTAGGAGTCTTTCTGGGATCTAAGCGATGATCACTCCATCAAAGCTGCTTAGGAAAAACTGTTGATAACTTTCTTGAAGAAGCATGTAGGTACACCATAGTGCCTGCACTATGAATCTCAGTTATCGTTGAACTTGGAGTGACGAGCAGGAGCCTGGGCTTGGTTTGCTCTGTGGAAATGCACACCCCCTAGCTAATTAAAACAAGTATTGACAATGTTAGAATATGAAAGCTGTGAAGCCAGTGGTTTCTGAGGATGATGTGAGCATTAATATTCTCTGCGGACCTCTGGCTCTTAACTAGAAATTGAATGAAAAGTGAGGCCAGGTAATTAAAAGTCCTTTGATGCAGTCTGCTTTTTTTAATGGTTGAGGTAATCAGTTCCCAAACCAGTGCTGTATTTGATTTCTTTGTAATTTAAGAGAAAGTGTGTACTCACTAAACCTATGTTCACAGACAGCTGGAGCCTGTGTAAAAGAAACAGTGAAAAAGAAGGTGATTTGGTAGAATCTTCATCTTCACAATTATCACTCTGCATCAAATAAGCATCTGTGTACATTGGTCTTCCAACCCCACTTTAGGATTAATCCATTCATGCCCTGGCGTATCATATCTTGACTGTAGTTTAAACTTACCCCTTCATAAAAACTCAACTCCCATGCTTTTGCCTTTTGCTGTTTTTGTTGACTTTCCTCCAACCACTTGTTTCTGTCACAGATAAATTTCTCCGAGCTTTTCTACAGACACATGAACAACATGTAACAATACATAATCACAGGTAGTATTTGAAAATCAAAACTGGCCATCATTTAAAATGTACTTTCTATACAACGGAAAAGGGTGACTGTTCCCCATCATTTCTGTCTTATTGTATATTTTTTAGCGTTCATGGAAATTAGATAGCCTTCTGCATCTACCAACCAGTGAACACTGGCTGTTTTGACACTAGTGATGAAAAGTTTTCCTTTTCATTATTTACATATGTACCTGTGGGTGTAGCTGTGGGATTTGAAGCTGGGTTTCATTTTATTTTACATCCATGATTAAGTGTGGCCAGTGAACAAGTTAATTAACTCTTTACTGCCTCACTTTCCTTCTTTGTAAAAGGAGTATATATCACATGTCTAGGGTCACTATCTGGCTTAGCTGCTTCTGTCACTTCTACAGAGGAAGCCTGAAAAATCTTCATTAAATGTAGCATGGTCACTTCTAAAGTGAGGTATGTGTGGTATGCTTCAATGCTGCTGTTTTTGTATTGATATTCTCTTTGTTATCACTGTCTTGGGACACTGCTCTACCCCCTCACTTTATACTTGGATTTTCTTTACACAGAGGCCACAAAGGCAGTTCTAAGTGAGTTCAAAGATCACATGTCTGACATGCTCAGTGTCATGATCTGTTTCCTAATCAACCAGCATCTTGTACATCTTGGCTAAGGTTTCTTTGCTGTTTGTTAACATTTTTTCATGGCAATACGTTTCTTGCTTCTGTTTTGCTATTGACTTGCCCATCTCTGTCTTCTATAAATAACAAGAATGTAAGATAGAAGTCGCTGACAAGAAGGAAGGAACCTTTCCATGCTTGATTCCAGCTAGAGATGGTTAGTTGAGATAATAGGAAGAAAAACGAGAAATTGGCATGAGTAGGAATCAGATGAGGATAGGGTGTGGGCATTATATACTGGAAAGAAAGATAACAAGCCAGTCATGCTGAAAATAAGTACTTTATATTGGATCAAGACAAAACACTGAGTCTCAGTAGTAAATTAAACACAAGTTACTTTTCATGATAATTAGAAGCCTCTCCTTTCTAGAGGGCTTTTGGTAAAGCATGTTCACACTATATTAAATATAATCAACTGATAACCACAGTTAGACATGAACATTCAAAATTGGCCTTTACTGTCTGTCTCTGGTAAGTTCCATGTCAAATGTACATGGAACTAAAAGGCAACCAAAATGTCTCTCCCAGCTACAGAGTCTTTAACTCATTCCTCAGGGATCTGGATCTTACTTCTGTTTGTACATTTCTGCCTATTGTGGACACTCATTGTCACCATTGATCGTGGAGCTTGAGGTTCAACATCTCAGTGTTTCATTTGTATATTTTTCAGGGTTGTATTTTGAAAGGTATGTCTATTCAGCCTCCCCCATTTTATTTTCTCTTTTTCCCTTAAATATAGCAGGAGAATGACAACCTGTGATACGTTTACAACAGGTGTGGGGCTGAGCACTCTGAGGTTCATATGCTGAGAGATGGCAGATTGGGGTGTACTTGCTTTGCTCAGATAACACACTGATTCTCTTAAGGAACTTAAAAGGGTTCCATGTGGAGTGGCACCATGTTTGTGTGCATGCTTTATATGATTGGTTGTTTTGTTTTAACTGCTTATTTTATTTCACAATAGTTACTGCTATCTTAAATCTCAATAGAAAATTCAGTCAACTGTGTCCAAATATTGATCAGTACAGTGAGAATCTGGGGTGAAATTTTACCTCCATAGAAATTTTTGCAATTATCTTAATTCTCCAGATTTCTCCCTTAAAAACTAATGATGCAGGCTAGGGGTATGGTTCAATGGTAGAATGCTTGACTAGCATATACAAGGCTCTGGGTTTAATTCCCATCACCAGGAAAAATCATGAATATGGAAACTTAAATGAACAGGTTAAAACTTAGTGGTTTTAATCATTAACTTTAATCATGAACTCTAAAATGTTCGGGAATTTCCAGGCAGGCTCAGAGCTTGTTTGAAGAGCTTCCTTACAGATATCAAGTGTGAGCATTCAGATGTGACCTTGTTCTTCTTTTATACCCTTGAGGAAGAAGAGGGAACTACTTCTCTGTGTGGTTCAACTTGTAATATGCACTTGTCTGTTTCTGAAGCAGCTTTGGTTATCCTTTAGATTAAATGCATCTTCAGCTTAGGTTTTTGTTTTCCAAGCAGGCATACATTTTTTGAAAACATGTTTTTTAAATATTAGAATGCTGGAATGAAAAACCGCATTTGGGGAGGAGATTGGGCAGGAGAGTGGACAGCTGGCGTGTGGGACATCTGAGAGTCCTGCAGTTCTGCCGGGCGTGGGAGGGAAACAAATTGGAAGCTGAAGCTGAAGGCATTTCAACATCGGGTGACTTGTCTATCTTAGTGCGGTGGGGATGCAACACTCTCCATCTGAGCCTTCAGTTTGTGAGGCTTTTGCACTTGTTCAGAGTCATCCCATATGCCACACTACAGACGTGTGCATCGGAATGTATGCATTCACTTTGCTTATTTTAGGAGAAAATCTTGGATGCATAAATCATGGGCTCAGCCACACTGTATGATGAATGTAGCTGCACCAACTTTGTAAATGTAAAAAGGTTTCTAGTTCATTTCATAATTTTATGAGATACTCTTAGAAAAATATAAGTGAGGCAACTTTCATTCTTGTGCCACTGTATATAATTAACGCTTGTTCTCCGCCTAATGAGAATTGCACACAGCCACTACATGTGGCCAAAAGCTGCATTAAAATGTTACCCAGGAGAGATGGCTCAGAGGTTAAGAGTACTAACTGCTCTTCCAGAGGTCCTGAATTCAATACCCAGCAACCACATGGTGGCTCACAATCATCTGTAATGAGATCTGGTGCCCTCTTCTGGCCTGGAGGTATACATGCAGACAGAATACTGTATAAATAATAAATACTTTTTTTAAGTTACCCAGGTAGTACTTGTGACATAGTATCAGTTGTACTTCTGCCACATTTAATACAACTGTCTGTCTCCATTTTCAGCTTCCAAACAATTTACTAGCTCTCCCCTTACTAGCGGGGACACTAGCACAGCTTTTAAAAAGATAGTGCCCACGTTAATTTTCCTTCCACTCTTAAACTGTTGCAGCTGAGCATTTACTGTCTCCGAGGCAGAAAGAGTTTTTCCATTACTCTGACATCCACCTACAGAAAGAGTGTCCATGCTCAGGCCAGAGAGAACATGGCCTTGCTTCCAAGCTCCTCAGGGGGGTAGTTACAACTGTTGATGCTATCCTTTACTAAAAAGGAACCATGGCTGATATCTGGATATTCCTGCATGAAGGAGGTGCCACAGTTAAACCATGTGTGAAGACAGGTGCCATGGTCACAGGATTATTCTGACAATAGAAGCAAGGTGTTCATCTCCTTCTCTGCTTGGCTTCACTTATTATCTTAAGATGGAATTTTAATTCATTCTGTGAGGGTTTTCATGCACGAGTATGGTGTATTTTTATCATGCCCACTCTTTCACCCTGAAGTTCCTTCCAGCCCCCCAGTGCTCCCAAGTCAACCTATCCTCATGGCATTAAAAACTAACCCATTGAGCTCAGTTATCTCGGCTGATATGCACATGGATATGGAGACATCTGCTAGGCTATGGACCACCTACCTGCGTGGCTTCACTCCCTCTGGACAGTAGGGAACCTGATAGGAGATGTTATTCTGTAAATCTGTCTCTTATTGGTTGTTGAATGAAGCACTGTTGGCCAATAGGAAAGTAAGATAGGTGGGTCTAGGAGTCTAGCAGGATTCTGGGAAGGAGAAACACAGGGAGTCATCATGTAGCTGCCACAGGGGTAAGAAGTCCAGACCCTTTTCTCCAGTAAGAGAAATACTTAGATTAACAATTATGGAGTAAATACTTAACTCAGAGCTAGCCAGTAAGAAACAAGCAAGGCCAATAGCTTCATAATTAATATAGCATCCTGTGTGTTCATTTGGGCCTGATGTAGCTCTGGGACCTGGCTGGCGGGAAGGCTTCTCCTAACAGGAACCCAGACCAGTGGTGTCCTCTAGGCTGGTTAATAGTTGTGGTGTGGCCAGCAGGTCAGTCAGCTTTGTGAGATGTCTTCTCCAGATACCAGATGACTGGGGAGTTTGAGTGAATCTACTTGCTTCTTATTTCACTGGACATTGGATGCTTCTCCTGGTGTCGTTCAGATGCACAGACCATGTCAGAATCCTCCAGAGGCATGAGGAAGGAAGGATGAACGGGACTTTTTGTGTCTACCTTGAATTCCTAATCCTAGGTTTGCTACTCCTGCTTTCCTTTCAGAAGCATGTTGACCACCTATACTGGTCACGTTGGGACTGTAGGCTCAAAGTGCTCCTTAGACTTAGTGGTTTGGGGATTGGTCTCAGTATTTAAAGTCCTTGTCACATAATCACATAAGCAAGAGGACCATGGTTCAGACCCTCAGCATCCAGGTAAATGTCAGGTGCCTGTAGCAGCACACTTGCTATCCCAGCCTCACGAGGTGGAGGTAGATAGCGGAACCCCTGGTCAGGTGACAAGGGGGACTAGAATTGGCACAATCTGGCTTCTGTTAAAAACCCGCCCTCAGAGAACCAGGTGGAGAGTGATAGAAGAAGATCCGAGAAGACTTCCTTCATGGGAACATGTGTATGCACTCACATGTCCCTGCACACATACATATAGGAGAAAAGAAAAAGGAAGTAAACTTTTCAGAGTGATCGAGTTCCTTTCTTCTATCTCACCACTGCCCAGAAAATGGAGATGAAAAGACTTATCAAGAGGAATGTGGTGAACAGGATGGAATACTTTTTAGCTGGTGGCACAGGGACCAAGTTTCATAGGACATATAGAGTTCACTGCATCTTCCCTAAATCTTGCCACCTTGAATGTGATGGATTGACAGCTGAGAGCCAAACTGCATGCTTTGTATTGTCTTGATGGTACTATCCAAGGGCAAATGTGACCAGATCCATGGTATGGTTTTCAAAGGACACAGGGCATGTTATGGTCTCAAACCACACCAGGGAAAAGCACCTACTTGGCATAGCTACATTGTCATATGTACGGTTACATTCCCAGCCATCTGACAGCTGTCGAGTTCCTTCTGTGAAATGAATTAGTGCCGCCCGTTTCACTAATAGACCACAAATGAAATTGCTAGCATTGTCTCCAGCAGGCAGTTTGAACAGATTCCATCTAACTGCATTGCCCCTGTGCTCCTTGTGGCTGTGCAGTTACAGGACAGGCTGTGGGAACAGAGGGTGTCACTCAGAATACTAATTGAAGCAAACAAAACACTTCTCAGAGCAGCACTGCTTAGGACTGATGAAGATGGTGCCCAGATGTTTCTAAACAACCTGACTCGTTCTTAGAGTATAAATGGGGGGCATGGAGCACTGTGGCCAGGAATTTAAGCCATTGAGTGCAAATATAGCTAAATGTGTTGCTACTATTTTCTGGTGTACTACCTCTAAGACTCTTTTCATGACAAAACACAAGCATACAGCCTGCATTTTGGAATTTACCTATTTTCATAGGGTCTTGTATTTTGGTCCCACACACGCATGGGGCTATCAGATGACCACCTGTGGAATACCATTCACTGCTTGTACCAGATCACCAGTCTTGGTGGCAAAACCCCCATCTACTGAGTTACCATGTATTACTAAGCAAAACAATCTCTTTGAGTTCTAGGTGCAGAAACTTACACACTTTCTGCATAGTATATTCTAAGTTTTCAGCATTTACATAAAGGCATTTGATTAATGGGGAGGCTAGGTATTTCACATAACTTCATTTTCCTCTTTAAACCTTTAACTTTGAAAATTAAAAAAATCATCTTTAAATTTATTTTTCATCTTTAAGTGGAAATTAAAATCCTCTGTTTATAAATGCAAGAATGGTGGGGGTAGCTTGGTTGTGTGTACAAAACTAGGAAGTCACTTGGTTAGAATTTTAAACCATACTTACTCTCAGAAAATCGAGAATCCAAACCCATTGTGACTAAAGTCAAGTGGCCAGTGATTCCTTGGGTGTCTCAAGATCATTGTTGTCCTTTGACTTCCTCAGTGTGTCAGGGCATGTGGACCCTAAGCAGGTACCTTTGGGAAAGCATACCGGGCTGTTTTGCCTGTTCTATAGACCTCTCCAGAGAGGAGATAGAATCTGCACTCTCTGAAAAAGTTTTATGAAAATGTGTTCTAGTCAAAAACATGCTCAGAAATTAAATAAACATTAGAATGAAAATAAAGTGCTTAGAAAATGCCAGGGTATTCACAAGTTTCTTGATTGTTAGGTCATGATGCTGAAGATGGTTCTGTATCATCCTGACTATTCCTTCACCTGACGGATTCAGAGAGAATTCGTTGAGCCATACCTCCATCCCTGTTTTCTCAAGATATCCCCTATTTTTTCTCTTCAAACAGTGTACCATCTTGTGAGACTCCGATGGTGTTGGTCCAAGATGGAGATGTCTCATTGTCTAATCCTTTGGTCCCTATGGAGACATATCCTTGTTGAAGCCCATGGTCCCTATGCACACAGAAGCCATCTCAGTGGAAAATAGCCACAGAAGTAGGTTGGCCCTCACAGGCAGAAATAAGTGGGCCTGTTGTGTACCTCAAATGACCCTTCTTCAGTATGAGGGCTTTTGCTTTGATATTGTATCTTGTTTTGTCCAGTTTGACTGTAGTCACTTGGAGGTATGCTCTTTTCTGAAGAGGAAACAGAGTGGGGAGTGAATTTGGGGAAGAGGAGAGGAGGAGGCAGACCTACAAGGAATGCTGGAAGAGGAAACTATGGTTAGGATGTATTGTATGAGAATACAATACAGAAGGAGGAGAGATTAGATGGGTCATGTCATGTACCGTATCAGACCAGCTGAGTCAGGGATTGCGGAGGGGGTGCTGTCAGCACTGCCGGAGCACAGGCCAAAGTGTCCAAGAGTGCTGGTGAGATCTACTGCTAGAGAGGGAGCTGTGAATCACACTTCTGCTTCAAGGAGGAGGCCCAACAGCAAGGAGTCATAGGGAGGTTTTCCGTGTATCAAGAGCTCATGTTGAAAACACTGTGTAAAGAAAGGCATAGAACAAACGGATAAGGAGATGTACAAATAACAGAGGATGGGAGGGCAGTTATGATTGATGTGGCAGCCATGTTGCATAACATAGATCATGTGACGGCATAAATGGGTTGGAATGGGTAGATTGAATGGAATGAATCCAGCACTTCTGTTTGTTTTCCTTTCTGGAAAATACTGAAATTGCAGTGGTTTTTAAATGGGCACAATGTTTGTTAGTTTACCTTAGATTAAAAAACATTATAAGGGATATTTTTGATAAGTAGACAGGATAAAACATGAATGCAAATTTTGAATACCACAAAACTTGTAGCATGTAGCTGTTTAAAAGGGTATTTCTAGCCCTCTATGCAAAACATATGTTGTTTACATTAATATTAAACATTACCTACATATCTTCATTCAAAACAAATGCTAATTTAATTTCTTCTTGTAGAATTCAAAGCTTTGGTTGGTCTATACAAATTTGTTTATCACCTACTGTATTTTAGAAATTTTATACAGTTGAGATATACATAGACAACAATAACACAAGCACAATCCTATGATAATGGCTTTAAATGTCAGTAGGGGTCCCAGAGAAAAGTTGGGGGAGTATCAGCCAACAGTTGGAATTTAATGTTGAATGTGGTTTCTCAGCCTGTAACATTGGAGTTCCAATATAAAACACTGCCCTCACTTCAAAGGGAATAAGAGAATGTTTTTTTCAGATTCAAAGATGAGAAGCATGAAATCTGGATTATCCCAAATAACATGTTCAAAGAAAGAACATGTAAGCAAGTACATGAGATTTTCTTGGTTACAGAAGAAAGAACACTTAAAAAGTGACAAATGACACTTAGAAAGAATATCCCTAGACAGGTATGATATAGCAAAAGTAAATGATGCTACTGTCAGTCTCAGGTGCTGGCTGGTAGAAGCTAGAAAGTGATATGCTAGGAATATAGGTTTTACCTGATAGTTGGTAAATGTTACTTTAGGTCAGACACAGGGGATTAAAGATTGCTCACGATATTTAGAATCTTAATAGGTAACTCTAAACTCTCCATGATCACAAAGTAAACCTAATCAATTAGACCTGTCAGTTTCAAATGTGGGTTTGGAAGGATAAATTATCAACTTAGGTAGGAAGAGGACAGTTGCCAATATCTTTACATCCCAACAGAAGTCCATCCCTGGAAATGCCAGCAGCAGATGTACTTTTGCTTATTTTTGGAGTACCTTTTCATGCTGGAGGCATTATAGTTTGAAGGTATGACAGAGAACTTAGATTTGGGAAGATATCAATGCTTTGAGGTGAAGAGATAGAATAGCTACAATTGCAGATCCCATACTTTAAAATATGTGGAATAGAGTTCAGGTATACACCTAGACCCTGAGAGGAATTATGGAAGAAAGAGAGTCATGTTCATTGCAGGAAAGAGACTGAGACCATAAGTCTTCCTAAGAGGGGCCTTTATGAAAACAGTCAAGTCACCAAGGATTCTGACAAGAGTAGCTGGAGTGATGGGACAGTGGTTCAGGAGTCAGTGCCGTCACTGTGAAGATCTGTGGATAGAGTGAGGACATGAAAGAAGGCAGGTGATGGTAAGAATCATGGATGTAGAATTTTGGGAAGGAGGCTGTGGCTTCAGTGAAAGCATGAAGGGGACATCCAGACCTGGCTAACTTTGAAAGCAGCTCCCCATCAGATTTGTTCAAGACTGGAATGTGATTGAGGATGTGGACCTTGGAGTTCAGGGTTTTGTTAGCTACATAGGCAAAGTGAAAGGGAGTCATGTGGGTTCCAGGTGAACATCAGAGACAAGACTCTGTGCTGTGGAGGAAGGGAGTGGGAGAAAGCTGATCCACAAGCATCTGGAAACCTGGATGCTGTCTTTGGATGCTCATTTTGGATACAATGAGCTATGAAATTAAGAAAGTGATTTAATCTACATTTGATATTCAGATGTGATATGAAATAGATATGGACAAGCCAAACTGAAATTTGCCATTCTTTTTAACAGTGATGGTGAGTTCAATTGGAGGACACTTAATTTGATTAAGTGTGCACATGTTCATTGTGGATTGATGCATGGGTGCAGGTGTGTGTGTGCACATGCATATAGAGGCCCTACATCAACATTAGGTGTCACCTACCTTAATTTTTGAGGCAGAGTCCCTTATTTATCTTGGAGCTTGCTGCTTTGGCTACACTGATTGGAAAGTGACCATCAGGGATCATCCTGTCTGCAACTCCCAGAGATTCTGTTCCAAGGTTCACCAGCATGTCTGGCTTTTCACATGACTTCTTGGATGTGAATTTATATCCTCCTGCTTATATAGAAAACTCATTACTAACTGAGCTACTATCCCAAGTCCCTTAATTGAACCCTTACTACATAAATTGAAACGTGTGTGATGAAAAGCTTCAAGGCATATGTTATTTGCTGTATTTTACAAATACAAACTATCAAAATGTATGCAGTTATTAATTTGGAGAGTTTTTCTCATAACTGGCCTTGGAATGTTTTTTGGATGAACATTTAACTCACCTATTTCAAAGTGAAGCTCTATGTGGGACTCATAAAGAAACCATGTCTTCAATGCATCTTTATGTATAGGAGGATAGTTTCTTCATTCCAATAATATGATATTGCAAGCTCAGGGCTGTGTTTCCTATGAGAATTTGATACCTACAGCATATTTTAAGACTCCTGTTTCAATACAGCTCAAAATCAATCCTTAAATATTATTTGTAATAAACCACAAACTTTATGCTATTCACCCAATCTAGTACTGTATGAAAGATGGGCATTTGTAAATCCAAGTTGAGTTCAGTCTTCCTAATATTGAGTGGGGAGAGTATTCCAGATGATCTAATACTACTCTAACAAATATTAGTGCATTAAGACTTTCTTACAATAAAATATCTGTATGTTATTAGAGAGGTGCTCTTAGAAATGAAGTGCCCATTAAAAATAAGAAAATAAAAGCCTGAAACAGCCTAAAATATGCTCTGCATTAAATTTAAACACTCCAAGCCTTCAGGTTGCTCTGGATTCCAGCCACGGCAGTCTACCCTACTGGCTCTAATGAAACAAGCTAAGTTGTGTTAATATACAAAATGTTCAACATATATGAAGCATATATACATAGAAGATGATAAATTGTAATTTACCTGTATCCTATCCTAAGCATATATATCCCATCCAAACCCTAACATTATCTGAAAGAGATGCCCAAGTCTGAACACCACCTTCCAATCCCAATCCTGAACAATTGAAAACTAATTCTAACAGGTATAAATTATCCTGTGATATCAAGAATATGGATAGGGGTTGTAGTATTCTCAAAATTACTTCCTTCTGAAATGGGACAATGATAACTTCATGGGATCCTATAGGAAGCAAATGTTACTGTAGTGAAAGTCTCAAGTGAACTGGGTACAACATTTGTACCCAGTCTCTGTTTGGTGGGAGATGCTTGATTGAAGTTCTTGACTGAAGTTCTAATCTTGATTGGAACTCTTGCCTGAGGATCTGGCCAGAGTGTAGAAGGTGTACCATATCAGTTAATTAGACTGGAGTTGTGTAGAGCTATGTAGTCCCAAACTAGTTTCAGGGTGGTAATTGTCAGTTCAGATGCATCAAGTCATATCACGTGGCAACGATGAAGTGGGGCCCCATTTTTTTTCTGAAGTGTTTGAAGATTGCTGTTAGGAAATTCTTTGTTCTCTGTGGAAAATTCAAATGTTAATGTCAACAAGGAAATTCCAATGGTTATTTGTATGTATATATGGGAAAGCCAAGAATAAGGAAGATAGTAAATATGAGGGAAATTAGACTTTCAGAGAAAGAACTGAATATAAACAGATGACAGTACCTACATTTTGTTCTCTTCTGTCTTACACCATTGGATCCTTGATATAATACAAAAACTCTGAATTTTATTTTAACAACCTGCTTGGATTTAGAGAAGGAGCGCCACATCCAACTCTAAAGCCAGCTTTGGTTTAAGTGAATTGGGACCAAAAGGGTATCAGAAGGTAAAGAGAAACAGATATAATGAGGACAAAAGTTAAGAGAATTAGACATTGATACCAAACATTAGATTCTTCTTTGTTTGATGGTTCTTTGGGTAGCCATCCTCTCTTCTTTAGGTATCTTCATGTTTGGTGGGCTCTTGACTTTTGGAGATGGGTTTTCCTGTTATGACACTTCCATTGTCTTTTGTGATGTCTCTTTCTACCTCGTAGAATATGACTTTATGGATGAGCTGTCATCTTTCTTCCTCCCAAGGTTTCTCCTGTTTGGATCAAATCTTGATCCATTTTGATGGAATCCTAAGCTTTTCTTCTCCTGAGGAAACAAAGGCAAAACCCTTTCCCCAATGTAACACATATCCTGGTTTCCAAACTGAGGTTATTACATCCTTAAAATACACCAGCTGATTTAGTTCAGAAGTTTTTTCTGAAGTCCAGTGTCTTTCTCCTGCTGTTTTTGGACTCTCACATAGCCTTAGCACTGACCACACCCATTTGGTAAATGAGAACTCTCCATACAGGAATGCATCCAGAAAAAAGCTTTTAAATAGGTATAGTATTACCACTTCAAATTATTTTAGGTTGCTGTTGACAAGGAAGTTTGAAATCATAAAAAGAGGAATTACTATGGACAAAAAGTTGCTAGTTTTAGAAGAAAAAGTATCATGTAATTATAAATTTAGTAGATATAGCATGCAATATTTGTATATATATATCATGCTTTATAATTTCAAAATTTTATTTATGTGCATTTATGTGTACCAGCTTCTAGGATCTGTAGTTACAGGATCATGAGCTACCCAATATGGTTACTGGGATCCAGCCTGGGGTCTCTGCAAGAACAGCAGGTGATTTTAATTGCTGAGTCATCCCCACAGCTCCGGTATAATTCTTAAAGGCTGTCTCTTCATCTTATTCTATTATCTATTCCAAAAATTCTTGTGTGCTTATATTTTAATCTAATTCTTGATTTGAAGATATATGAATATTTTGTCATTTATATTGCCATCCATGGTGCCCCTTAACACATTAGGATGAATGCAATACATTTTCTCTTTTACTGCGAAAGAAACAAATGACTTTGTTCACATGTATATGCTTCACCAAGTTTCCACAGTAGAGCAAACTTCAGCCGGATTCCACTGTCTAATTAGCTATTACATGTGTTAGAATTCTCAATGTTTTCTTGAATATAATGAAATATATTACCCCTTTCAATTAAGATGATGGAATTTTCAACTTCTCCCAGATGAAATGCCCAGGACATGCATGATTAGAAAATTGTCTCTCGGGTTGGTTGTGAGATTTTTAGAATTATTGATATGTGGTCTGTAAGCATAATATTGCAGGTTGTGTTAAGTTATGTGTCAGTCTCTCTTAAGTCACTCCCTATGGTTGTTTTGAAGCAGATCTCAGTACTATTTGATATATGGAATGTTGGTTATAACCAGAGATCAGTGAAAAACTTAAAGCTTTAGCCATGAGTAAAGGTCTGGTGTGCTGCCTGGGCAGTGGGAAAAGGTTACTTTCACCTACCAACATACACAAAATAGTTCTGTGCTCTCTCAAAGAGAAACAGAAAATCTGGAAGCCAGAATGTTTTCATGTGTACTGCACAGGAAAGGGAAGTCACTAATGTCCTCAGTGAATCCTAATGCAACAGAAAGGGTCTGTCTGTGGTACAGAGCAGGCAGCCCAGGAGCTGGTACCCCAGGAAGTTAGAACTGGGGCAGAAAGAGGGGCTTAGCCCGATCCTGGGATTTCCTAACAGACACACTGTCCTCTGTTGGAGAGTAAGGGTTATTAGGGGCAAAGACATTTTGCTGTGTGAAGATTTTGCTCTCATCTGTACTTCTACAAAGAAGTATGCCTGAACTGGGCTACATGCCTCCAGATACTGAGCCCCAGAAATCCAGAACTGAAGGGGACTAAGTTTCACCACACTCTAGCAAGGCTGTATCTAGTAGGACAGGAATAGACCATTTTAGACCAACCAAAATAACCTCAAGGGAGAGAGGCTCATCTCAACCTCCCTCAGCATGTATGATGACTTCAAAATTTTAGTGTATTTTCTTAAAAAGAGATGAATGAAAAAATATAGGTGCCATTCTTCCTGAAACAGCACACCTGTTCCACAACACCTAAGAGTTGTGCTTGCAAACTCACTTCTGCATGGCAAGGCACAGAAGGTGTGGGATTTTACCTGCAGCATCTAAAGACTTCTGTAGTTTGAGAGAAGGGGAGGTCAGTGGAGGAGGACAATGAGTAAGAACAAAGTTGAAGGACACATAGGTATGGGCATGTCACAATGAGCCCCAGCGTGTCTTCAGCTATCTCTCTTTATTATCAGAACATATTAATTATTCACACTAATGGGTTTTGTTAGGACATTTTTTTTTGCATGTGCGTCATGTATTTTTAATGATATGCAACCTCTATTGCCTTCTTATCCCTATTTACTCCTATGGATCACCTTCTTCTTTCATGCTTTCTTCCCTCCTTTCCCTTTCCCTTCTTCCTCCCTCCCTCCCTCTCTCCTTCCCTCCCTCCTTCCCTCCCTCCCTCTCTTTCTTCCTCCCCCCTCTCATTTTCTTCCATTTTTCCTTCCTTGCTGTTGCATTTTATTCGGGTTTTGTTTATTGATAAGTAGTCCATGTACTAAAACCTGTTATTTTGCATACTATAGTGAATATAAACCAACTCTGTGCCTTTTAAAAAATCACCTCTGTTACTTCTTTTAAGTCTACTTGTTCTAAAGTAAAATTGACAACGTCACAGTTGTTTTCATCATTTCACAGATGGTCTCAATGCTTAGCTGCTTTCAGGAGAACAGAACAAGTGTTTTCTGTCATTTTTTTTTACTCAACCTTGGGCCTGAGATACTAACTTACTTATGGTCTCCAGAGGCCTTGGGTCATGTTGATGGGCATGTGAGGACTTGCAGACTCAGTGCCAGAAGTCTCAAGGTTAGCTGGAGCCTTCACTATTCAGAAAAGAGAGTTCCGTGTTTTGACCTGATGGCAGAACTTTCCACAGAATCAGAGATGAGATGAAACTCTAGGCAGAAGCCAAAGGGATTCATGGGGTACAGTTCCATCACCTGAGTTTGCCAGAAATCCTGGATCCATCAGAGGCATGTGACTTCTTCATGGTAGAAGACTGGGGGAAGTTTCTGGTACGTTCTGACTGAATGGATATTGTTAACTTGGGAAAGAGAGGCACATTCCAGAGAAACAAAGGGAATGATGTCACAGGACAATCCCCAGTGTCTGTAAATATTCTAAAGCCACACTACAAATAAACATGTAATCATATTAGAAAAGTTAAGAATACATATACATGTTAAGAATATATGAGTAATTCTGCAAGGATACTAGCAAGGCCCATATGCTTTAAACACACCCAGGAAGAACACAGACAAGAGGAAAATGATTATCATGTCAATAAAATAAAGAACATAAAACATCACAAGGAAAAGAACCAGAATAAAAGAGAGTGAAGAGAACCTTCAAAAGTCAAAATGAAATCAACAGACTAAACCCACTGAATCAAATAGTCCAGGCATGAAATTCCCAAGGCACACAAATACCAAATGAAAAAAATAAAAGTTCGAGTGAGAGTATGTAGGACTTGAGTAAGTTGCTTTAGCAAAATTGTAACCAAAAATATTGAACTTAATATAAAATCCACTAATACATATATTAAATATAAAGGTTGTGAGCATGAAACTTGCAAATAGACAATAAAATAGAATAGGATAGATAGATGATAGATAAGATAGACAGATAGAGATATAGATACATATAGATACAGACATATACATCCAAAATTGTATTTTAAGAAATATACAGTTCTATTGGGAGAATCTTAACTATTCAAAATACAACAGTGCACTGGCTAGTTTTAAGTCAACTTGAAATAAGCCAAAGTCAGTAATTCTCAATTGAGAAAATGAGTTCATAAGATTGAGTTACAGTCCCCACTGTAGGGCATTTTCATAACTACTGATTAATGGTGGCAGGTCCAGTCAATCACAGGTGGTATTACCCCTGGACTGATGGTCCTGGGTTCTATGAGAAAGCAGACAGAGAAAGCCATGGGGAGCAAGCCAGTAAGCAGCATCCATCCATGAATCAGCTTCTGCCTCCAGGTTCCTGCCCTGTTTGAGTTCCTATCCTGATTTCCTTTAGTGATGAACAACGGTAGTATAGGTCAAATAAATACTTTCTTTCCCAACTTGTTTACATACAAGTGATAGAAATCCTAACTAAGACGAAGAGAAATCCAAACTATAGCACAGAAGCTTCTAGTAGGTAGACACTGAGCACAAGTCGGTTTTAATTTTATTTTTCTTTGTGATGTGAAAGGCACAAAGAATAAATAAAAAAAGTTAAAGATAGGTAAACAAAATTTGCTTTTCTTGACACAAATGAATATGTATTTTCACCTGGGGGATTTCCGAAGCTAGCCTATGAAACTTCAACTGTTACAGGGTCTGTCTGTGTTTTATAGAAATGACATAAGAAATCATCAAAGACAAAACAAATACAAAATAAAAACAACC